TTCGTTTTTTTTTTTTTTTTTTTTTTTTTTTTTTTTTTTTTTTTTTTTTTTTTTTTTTTTTTTTTATTTTTAAAATAAATAAAAAAAAAAAAAAAACCCCCCCCCCCCGGGGGGGGGGGGGGGGGGCGCCCCCCACAGAACTTCTTATGTAGAGGTCTAACTTATGTAGCTAGCAGCCAGGGGGGGGCAGAATTGTCTACCTAAGCCTAGGTAATCTTTCAAAGCCTCCTTAGGTGGGTATAGGTAAGTATTTAGGGTACAGGTAAGGTAAGTAAGTAGGTTAGGTACATAGGTAGGTAGGTATTTAGGAATCATGTGGGTAACGGTTGTGTTGGTCGAGTTAGACACATACAGGCAATTACCTAATTTACCTAACCTATTAACCTAGTACCTAGGTATTAATGTGGCAAATACATACATTAGGTACCTACCTATGCATGCCCATTCTTTTAGTCTAATACACACATACATAGGTACATATACATATACACACATACATACACACATACGTATGTGTAAGTCGCCTGCCGCCCACCGAAGAATTCATTGGCGTACCTTGATTACGAGGCAACAAGGAACTGTCTACGATGCGACTATGAATCATATCGTATAGTTAGTTGTTGATATGTTTTCTAAGTGACTCAAAGTGCTCGGGCTATGGTTAAGATTTATCAAGTTCGATGAGCTGCATAGGGTATGACCAATGTATAGGTATTCATCTTAGTCGCTGTGTAAATGCGTGTCATATATTACTTAGCCATGGAGTTCAATACCTATTGAACTAGGTACCTAGGTAGTCATCCAATTAAATATACGGTGTTTATTTATGAAATGCAAGTTATCTGCCTAGAGTCCCTATTTCTTTTTCCTGCTTCGTTTTCCTACAATGTATACTCTTATCACCCTCTTTTTTCTTATTCTAGTATGTACATATCATACTCCTCTCTAACCCACATCGTCTAACCCACAACCATGCGGGTCTGTAATGGATCTACTAACTAACTACCTACCTAAGGCAGTCAAGGCTAACAAATCTATCGAAGGGTCCCTTGAACGAACACTACCTAACTAGCTAAGGCAGCATCGGCGCTAGCAGACTTATAAGTCCTAACAGCACAACATCTCCTTCGGTGTCTCACCGTGTGTTGGGGCAGAGTCTCGCTAACTCATCACCAGGTATTCTGATTGGAATAGGTACAAGTATAAAGAAAGCAACTAAGACTATCTTGAAATTGCACGTCGAGCAAAGGGTCACGTCGAACATCCAATGAACACATGCAGATCTCTAGAACATGCAGTCTCCCACATATATCCCCATACGTCATGTATGTTCCCAGTTGTTGGTGCTACAAGTGGGCTTCGTTGCGTATCTAGTCCCAACGACAGGCTGGTAGGGAGGCTCAAAGATGCTAAGCTTCCCGACTCCGTGGTATCCAAAGTCGCACAAGCAAGATGACACGCATCACAGTCTAACGTCTAAACCGAAGCAGAGCTGAGCGGGGCTCGGCCCGAGTCGATTATGGGTGTCGGGTCCCTGCAGGAATGTATTCGTCCAAGATATTGCAAGGTGTTCTAGAGCGTCGCCGCATTCACGCAGTTAGGGTGGCATAGAGCCTGTGCTAAGGTTGATGGACCAATTAGCATATGCCTCGTGAATTTTTAAGGATTTTGTGGCTGTCGAGGTTGGGTACATCGGTTGGACAATGGTTACGAAGATTGAAAATGGTGACATTGGTTTATATTACAGTTGGGGAATGTTGCAAAGAAGATACCCTCCTATATCTAAATAAGCCTATGAGACCAAACGGTTGAACGAGCGAGAACAAACCTCATTTCACAAGGGACCAACAATGCTAGTCCCGGAATCAATGCTTCACTTCTCTCTGCGGGTAATCGTGGATATTCTAGGACCCTGATCCGAGCAGTCTTTTAATTCGGCCATCGGTTGGGAGAACTCTTGTATCGCAAGAGGCCGCAGAGCCTCATGTCGGATCGGAAGGAGAGAGCGATATATGCTCGTGTCTGCATTGGACCACATGTTCTCAAGCTGACGTATTGTAACCCGAGGTCGTGCCGTTAATCCAGCCCAACCCATTCAGCCTCCTCACCCTCGGACTGCATGCGATCCTCCAAGATGAGTGTTTCCCCCGATGGCAGCATCTTCATAGGGGTATCTCCGCCCGTGGTTAGGGCTGGATTGCTGGTATCTACCTTTTTAGTGGTAGCCTGCCCAAGTAGATAGTCGACCGTGTATACGTTCTCGTCTGCTAATCGTTTGATTTCGTTCCGCATCCTTGTAACGGCTCTTGAGACAACCCGCAGCTCAACATCAACTTTACTTCGATTTGCCGTAAGCCAGGATCCATGTTTATCTACTAAGGCTTTGATCCATAGGAGACAAAACTCAATGTGGGGGGATTCTTCGGTCTGAGCTGCAACAAACCGCAATAGTCTTGCGACATATACAGTAGGGAACTGTTCCACCACCAATGGGATGTCCGTGTGCGGCACGGACTGAAATACCCTCTTAATCAAGCCAGCTTCGTTGAGGCGGAATGCCATGACAAGAGCCTTAATATAGTCTCTCTCATTTTCAAGAACAGCAAGAGTCGATGCTGGTGTAATTTCCATATTGAGGTCGAATGGATCGAACTGAAGCTCGTTGTCTACGCTGTATATGAGAAGGCCCTCTGTAGATGCAGCACAAAATGAAGTACCGGCAGGTGAGAAGCCTACGCTAGTCACTCTCACTTCGGGTAATTTCTTTCTGGCGGACGGATCTCCGCCTCGCTTCGAACCCGGTAATAGTTTGTCTCGTCGAGCCTCGCGGTCTGAATGGTCTGCCTCGTCATCGAGCAACCCCTCTGGTCCCGCTTCTGTAAGCAACTTACTATTCAAGAACTCTTGCGTTCCCGATAACGAGAGGTTGACACTAACGGTGAACTTTTTCAGTAGAACCATAGTGCTCACAGAATAGAGACATATGTATTTACTGTTTCCGGCTGCTAGAAGGCAACTTCCATCCGTACTGTATCGTATAGTATTGAAACTCTTGGTACCAGCAACGTTAGCGGCAGTTCTGCGGTCACTGACTTTCCGACCTCCTGACACATCTCGCCGACCATCAAGGCCTGATACTTGCTCTGCATCTGAAACCGACCAGAATGATAATTGTCCATCCAAAGTAGATATTGCAAGCTGTGCGGAATCTGGCCGGACCGCAATATCGAGCACATCTGCTTGCAATTGTAGAGGCTCGCTAGTTTGTGTGCGACTAAATATTGACCACATCCTAGCCGTCCGATCCCAGCTTCCACTGAATAGAATACTTCCATTCGGTGAAAATGCCAGCGAGCAGACAGGGCCTTCGTGACCGGATAATTGATCAAGCAATTGACCAGTCTGCACAGACCAAATATGAATATCGAATGAGTCCAGGGACCCTGCAGCGACCACTTCACCGCTCGGATCGACTGCCATACAGGAAAAGGAAAGCCGGCTCGGCGCTGTAAAGGTTCGAAAGTTTCGATACCTAATAAGATCCCAGGCCCGTATGGACCCATCTAAACTCGAAGTAAATAACACATTACCCTTCTTTGCGAATTCACACGTAGTTACGCCGCTTGTATGCTCAGTGAAGGTCACTATACAGAATCCGGAGTCAACATCCCAGACTTTGATTTTGCCATCGTCGGCGGTGGTGACGATGCGTTTTCCGTCGGGAGAATACACTAGGGAGTTCATGGAGTCGAAATGGCCTTGCTGTTTTAGAATGTAGGACTCGGATTGCCATTCCCAAACAAGGAGCTGGCCTAGCTTAGAAGCCCCAAAGGCCAGCCACTCTCCGCTCTTATTTATTGTGACGAAGTCAATTTCGTTCTGGGATATGCTAAGGGTATGAATCGTGTTGAAATCGGGCATTTCGTATAAGCCGAATATTCCGTTGGAGAAGCCGGTAACTAAGAGGTTTGACTCGGGATGGAAAGCGGCGCATCTAACATGGGCATTGTTCTGCATGAAGTAATGCCTCTGAACAATCCTCCAGCGCATGCCGTCATTATCGGCGTCTCCCATATCCTCGTCCTCATCTATCGACGGCGCATTGGGATGCCTCGTAAATTGCCAATCAAAGACAGCCCCATCTTTGCTGATAGTATATATCGTTTCTTGGTCTTTTGAGAACCAAGCTCCAATCACAGCCTGCTTATGGCCAGACAAGACTGTTGGGGTAAATCCTTCTTCCGCGTCCAAGCTCCATATTCGGGCTGTCAGATCTCTGGAGGCAGTTAAAAAGAAGCGCGAATCGGCGGACCATTCAATATGACGGACGTCATCAAAGTGGCCCATATGCGTGTGGTGTCGGACAAAAGGTGCAAACTCCAACTCCCCATCTGCGTTCGAGTCAGGAGTTGATGGAACCTGCCATACTTCCGTCTTTCGACCTAATCCTACAGCGAAGTGGCGCCCTGAAGGTGAAAAGGCGAGAGCCGTGACAGGAGATCGGAAAGAGAAGTGGTATATAGAGATTCGTCGGGGGACGTTAGTTAGAATTGCATGGCCGTCTTCGTCAACGGAGAGTAGGAGATTGCCCCGCGGCGTCAAGCCAATTCTCGAGATGTTTTTCCTATGCGCGAAAGGAAGCGTGTATGACTTGTTACTATGGGCAATAATGTAGTTAGGAATCATGCCTTTCTAAGCCGATAAAAACTAAAACAAGACATACTCTACTAAGTTGAAAACCGTAACTCGATTTCCCACAG